AACACGTGTCTCTACTCAGCCCACAGGGATAATGCCATTACTAGCAATTTCGGAGACATTCTAAAGGGGCATGTATAAGGGCTTACCACTTGCACAGTTGGACATAGTATGTAATCCAAAGCTTCAAGCAGTGCAATTCCACTGGCATTACCATCTTTATGGGAAACACTCTATTTTGTGAACCAGCACATGTTACCATGTGGCTCTCGCATGTTGTCACCATTCTAAACAGAAGTTGGCAGAAATGGTACTGTGTTGGGTTGTAGCCAATTTTCTTTTTTAAAATTTTATTGAGAAACAAATAGCAATGAGACAGTTTCAAAACCGATTAGATATTTAAATCACAATGGAATTCCCATCTCTGACAAAACTAAACAAAAAAAGGGATACAAATGAACAAATGTTTTGAGGGTTTTTTCTTTTTTGGAACAACCATTTTGTATCTGTATATACAAAATAGTTAGGATAGATATAGAGCTACATTCTCTTAATTCAATGAATAGAAAGATTTGTACTAATAGTGTTTGTGGACAGGATATCATGTCTGCATCTTGTACAATGAATAACCACTAAGACAACAATATGCAATGTATTAATTATTGAAACTGTTCTGCTAATCGGTTTTGAAACTATCTCATTGCTATTTGCTTCTCAATAAAATTATTTTAAAAAACAAAACTGATTAGTAGGACAGTTTCAATAATTAATACATTGCATATTGTTGTCTTTGTAGTGGCTATTCATAGTAAAAGATGTAGACATGATATCCTGTCCAAACACTATTAGTACAAATCTTTCTTCTTATTGAATTAAGAGAAAGTAGCTATATATCTATCCTAACTATTTTTTATATACAGATACAAAATGGTCCTTCATTTGTATCCCTGTTTTTTTGTTTAGTTTTGTCAGAGATGGGTATTCCATTGCCATTTAAATTTTTTTAATACTTCAGTTTTTTAGTTGCCCAGGTAACAGTTCCTACTCCAGTTCCAGTTGCTTCTGTTTCTTTTTTTGACCATTTAAATATTGAAGGTATATGAATTCAGCAAAATAATCCAATATAGGCCACTAGTCCATAATAGTAGTGGGTTATCTGCACTACTGGCACTGTCAGAAGTTGTTGACTTGAGCCCTTTACAGCTCAGCCTATTAATATGGCTTTACTTTTCATACCTCACTATTATACTTTTCTGCTGGATGGTTAAGACCAAGATAAAGCAAGACCTATATAACAAGAAATGTAACTTTTGTATCTGACAAGGTCAGTCAAATCCCCTGAGGATTTATCCTGAAACCCTGTACAGCAGTTTGTAGATCCTTTGTCAGTGTCAGCCATGTGGATGAGTCACAGACATTGCTCGACCAATTTGCTCTCTGAAAGCCAGAGAGAATGTTTTCTCTTCCTGTGACTCTCCTTAGGCACCCTCCATGTCATCAATCACTTTCCTTTGTGGCCTAATAATCTCCTTGATCAGAAAATTTGGGACATCACTGAGTTACAGGAAGTTATAGTACAGGTTGTCTTATGTCCTGAGACCTCACTGACCTTGAAAGGCTAGGGCCACAATGTTGTAGCCAATTTTCTTAATGTAAGTGTTGACTCCCTGAATCGTTCTTATGTGTTTTCTGGTTGTAGGTAGATTTTTGGAATTCATTTTGTGAACACCAGCAGTTAGTTGCTTTATCCATGTATGGCAGAAGGCATGTGACAGAAGGCACGCTCACAGGTTTGCCTAGTCTTGAAGATACTATCTTTATGTTTACCATAACAAGCAGCAGCAATCCAGACAGCACTTTGAGCCTCATATATTTGTGTAATCATGTTTTATTAAATTTCTGTAGTTTGAGGCATCAGTGGTAGTCACATAATAGCTGTAGGCCTCAATTTTTCACATGGAAGTGTAGATAGTGTTTTAGTTACTTTTATCATTGTTGAGAAAAAATTCCAAACACTTGACAAAGGATCTGCATACTGTGGTACAAGGTTACAGGATAAATTCTGAGGGTACTTGACTGACCTTGTCAGATACAAAAGTTACATTTCTTGTTATATAGATCTTGCTTTATCTTGGTCTTAACCATCCAGCAGAAAAGTATAAAAATGAGGTATATAAAGTAAAGCCATATTAATATGCGGAGCTCTGAAAGGCTCTAGTAAACAACTTCTGCGGATAACCCACTACTACTGTGGACTGCTGGACTGTGTTGGATTGTTCTGCTGAATTAACACACCTATAGTATCTAGATTCCAATGGAATAGTCATCTCTGACAGGACTAAAGAAAAAAAGGGGATACAAAGGAAGGACCATTTTGTATCTGTATATACAGAATAGTTAAGATAGATATACAGCTACTCAGCTACTTTCACTTAATTCAATGAGAAGAAAGATTTGTACTAATAGTGTTTGGACAGGATATCCTGTCTGCATCTTGTACTATGGATAACCACTAAGAAAATAGCAATGTATAATGTATTAATTATTGAAACTGTCCTATTGATCAGTTTTAAAACTGTCTCATTGATATTTGTTTCTCAATAAAATAAAAAATAAAGGAGAAAAAGGTGATTGTGGTTATAGTTTGTAGTGATTTCAATCCATTTTTGGCTGGCTCCAAGGCAGAGCAGTATGACAGAGGGATATCACAGAGGAGAAAGTCCATGGCAAGCAGAGAGACAAAGGCATATTGGCCCTCTTTCTGTGCTTCATATCTTATGCAGGTTACCCACTCTAGGGCTGGTATAGCAGTTATGCTCTTAATCCTAGCCAGAACTGTGTCTACCAATCAGTGGACTGATTAAAAATTGAATACCCATAGTCCTGGCACCACACACTCTAGATCCAGCTACCTCTGAAAAGTGCTTCCTTATGACTTCATGAAGTTTTGGAAGACATCTAGACATAAGCCATAAGAGATTGTAATGTTACTGTCATGCTCAGAGTTCTGGTTCAACATCAAGAAGCCATGTCTTGTGGTGCAGGGCATCACATGGAGAGAAACAGGAGGCATTTTAGGATTCATTTCTTCTGGAGTGGTGTTTGGATATATCACTGATATCTGAAGTGAAGAATTATGAAGGAAATTGAAAGGATGTTGCCTCTCTATGATGCAACAGAAACTTAGATTAGATCCTTGTTTACTAGAAGAGTAACTGCCATTTTCTTTAGAGAACTAATTAGAAGCTGAAACTAGAGAAAGTGCCAATTCTATTGTATGGGATTTTTCAAAAGCTGAAAAGCCAAGTGATGCTTCCATAGAAATGTGAAAATAGCACCTATTTGGTCCTGCAGAATATTCCTTTATGCTAGGAGTTATTTATAATGGAATTTGAGAAATGAGTTTTTGTCTGATTAATGCAAGACTGACTACTATAGGTGTTGGAGAGAAAATTTGTCAGATATGAATCTTTGCTTGATTCCTGATTGTGTGGTCTGAGCAGGAGGATCTCTATTTAGGAAGCTGTGTGGGCATTTTTCATCAAAGGTCCTGTGGATTCATTTTCGACTTGACTTCACTTTACTTCAGGAAAGGTAAATAAATCTGTGATAGCAAGTAGAAGCCTGATGGTTAATCATAGCCTGGATTTGCTGCTTGCTGATGTGGGGCTGCTAATTGGATTATCTTGGCTAAGTGGTCCTGGTATTTGTCCAGATCTTGAAATTTAGGCCAGAATGTAAAAGTGAAAGAATGTGCATGTATGTCCACTTCTCGAGGGGGAAATTTCACAGATCTTTCAGAGCCATGGACAGGAAGCTACGTCTCCTAGCTGAGATATCGGGACTGCCCTTTCCAAACAAGAACTAGAATTAGAATGATCTGCCATCCTAAGCAGCTGTCTTTGATTCATTTTTAACACTGTGGTCTATTGCAAACATCAGCAGTCCCCCTAAGATCTCCAATTTGGGGAACCCAAGATTTTTGAAGATCTCCTGGATTTTAAGATTCACACTACTTAAGACTTCTTTTTTGAGATTAACTTTGATGGTGCAGAAATGCTTTAACAGATTGTGGGGGAGCCATCCTCCTTGACAACTGTTTTGGAGCTGGCAGGTGGTAGCCCAAGGAAGAATCTGCATGCTGTCTAGTTCCCAAACTGTCCATCCACTTATCTAGGGACCCTTGCAGGATTGTATAAGGGAAGATGGTGGCAGTGGTGCAAGAACACCCTATATGACCAAAACCCTAAACACCTCTTCATATTCTATTTTAGTTCTCCAAGGTTGATGGGTTTTTCTCTATCTCAACAGGTATTCAAAAACCTCGGCATTGAGTTAATGGAACACATTTAGAGGTTGTTATGTGGACTATGTTGACTGTAGTCTTCAATGGTACACAAGTCATGGTATGGAGAGAGATTAAAAGAGACCATTGAGGGGAGGGAGGGAGAGAGGTAGGTACAAGGGAGAAAGGGAGATGTGGGGGAGAGAGAGACAGACAGAAACAGAGAGAGACTGAGACAAAGAGATAGCGAGACACACATAGAGACAAAGAGACAGAGAGACAGAGACAGAGACAGACAAAGAGACAAGTGAGAGAGAACAAAGAGAAATAGATGCCAAGACAGGGACAAAGAGAGAGACAGAGACAGGGAGACACACAAAGAGAGACAGAGACAGAAGGAGAGACACAGAGAGAGAGAGAGACTGAGACAGTGACAGAGAGAGAGAGAGAGACAGAGAGACAGAGAGACAGAGAGTGAGTGTGTGTGTGTGTGTGTGTGTGTGTGAGAGAGAGAGAGAGAGACAGGCAGGCAGGCAGGCAGGCAGACAGACAGACAGACAGACAGACAGACAGACAGACAGACTGCTATATCTGGAGTCATCCTTATGGTTTTCTGCAAAAGGTTCTAAAGTCCACAATTACTGACTTTGTTTTCTATCCACACATAGAGCCTGGGGGAAGTAACAAACCTAGTGGATAGGAAGGCAAATGATACAACTTTGGACAGAATATAAGAGCCTATTTAACATTAGAATCATGAGGCACCACAGCATAATACAGCTTTGTTCAGTGGCAGTATCATAGCCAAAGAGGTTTATCTGAGGTGTGATTGTTGTTAATTGAAAAATATCCCCTAGAGGTGGCTTCAGATATATATTTTAAACAACAAATTTTTTCAAATAAAATAATGCCAATTTGCAGTATAGAAAACATTGTTTTTCCCCCTGTACCCCTCCTCCAGACAGCTCTTGAGACACTGAGTGAAATATCTGATACAGCAGAAAGCATGTGAGTGAAGATTCAAGGTTCTCTTCTTGAGAAAGGTATTCACATGCTATATGAATCTTTAAATTATAAAATAGCACTAAATAGTCACTCAAGCTGAAAGGCTTACTGAGGCTTGTTGCTTTGGTGTTGAAAGCAAAGTACTGTGGAAAAAGTGAAGCAGGTCCAAATGGATTTCTTTTTTTTTTTAATTTATTTATTTATGCGTGTGTGTGTGTGTGTGTGTGTGTGTGTGTGTATGTGTGTGTGTGGCCAGCTCAGCCCACCAGGGGGCGGGGCTGGCTGGCATGTGGTGCTGGGGGATTGAACCGCGGTCTCTGGGCTTTAGCTAAGCTTGTTCTAAGTAGGTGCTTTAGACCACTGAGCCATCTCACCAGCCCCCAAATGTATTTCTTTTACAGTTATTCAGAGATATATGTTATGGCTTGTATGTCTGTGATGGTTGATAGAGTAAATGAAGCTCAACTAAATTGTCTCAGCAAATACAAACCCTAGTGTCTCTCTATCCTAGGGCAGCTTGTTGCCTGGATGGTATAATGGAGAAAAGAAGTGTTTCTTCAGAGGAGCCCCACTCTTGGTACCAACCACTGTATCAATCAGTGGTTACTATAGAAACAGAAATAACACCAGATTTATAAAAATATACAGACTTACAATATTAGCTTACAATGAGCACCCACAGAGTTGGATGAAGAAGAGTTCAGAGGGTCCATTTGCATACTGGAGACCAAAGTTGACCTTAGCAGAAGAGGACTACAACAATCAGAGTAGATAAGATGATCCATTCTTTTTTAAAAAATGTGTTTAGTACAGGGTCTACAGGGTCTCACTACACAGATCAGACTCATAGTGATCTTCCTGTTTTCAGCCTCTCAAGTGCTGGGATTACAGGCTTGGACCACCACGCCCAGTCTGAATTACTATCTTAGTGCACCACAGGGTCCAGGCCAGCGTGGCTTGTGGTGCCAGTGATTGAACCTCAGTCCTTGCACTTTGTCTAAGTAGGCACTTTAGTCCTCTGAGCTATCTGGCCAGACCAAGATGACTCATTCTGTAGATAGAGATCATCCTCCTTATTCAGCTACTCCTGTCATTGATGTATGGGCCCATGAACAGAGGGGCCATGGTGGCAGAAATGAAGGCTATGCACAGGCTCAGCAACATGAACTCTCACTCACCAAGGCTGAACTGGCTATGGCCACTGCTGGATTTCCAATACACTATCAGTAGAGACCAACACTGAGTCCCCAATATGGCATTTTTCCCCTGAGATAATCGATAATCAATGTCTCAGTTACTCTTCTTTCATTGCTGAAACAAATACACAACACTCAAAATGAAGAAAGGCAAGGTTTATTTAGCTCACAGTTACTGGAGGTTTCAGTTCATACTTAGCTGGTTCCAATGGCAGAGTGGCACACAGCAGAGAGCAACCTTTCATGGTGGTGCCAAAGAGCAGAGAGCAAAGGAAGTGACAGCAGCTCAGGCAGCTAGGTAGCCTCTCTCCCCTCCTTACATTGTAATTCAAACTACCTGCCCCAGGGCAAGTGCAGCATCCACACCGACAATAGTCAATCACAAGCTCCAGAAGGCACCCCATGACTGTATGGGGCTTTGGGTGGACAGCCAGACACAAACCATAATAATTAACCTGTGATGTGGTGACAGTTTAACTATATTGGACTACTTTCATCATGGAAGGAACTGAGTTTTGTCCTCACTATCATAGACATTTATTCTGGATATGAATTTTCCTTTTCTGCACATAATGCTTCTGCCAAAACTACCATCTGTGCACTCACACAATGTCTTATCCACTGTCATGGAATTCTGCATAGTATTGCTTCTGACCGAGGAACACATTTTTATGGCCAAAGAAGTAAGGCAATGGGCTCATGTATATGGAATTCATTAACCTTACCATGTTCCTCACTGTCCAGACGTAGCTGGATTAATAGAAAGGTGGAATGATTTTTGAAGACACAGTTACAGTGCTTACTAGGTGGCAGTAACTTACAGAGCTGGGGCAAAGTTCTTCAGAAAGCTATATATTTTATGCTTTGAATCAGCATCCACTATATGCTACTGTGTCTTCTATAGCCAGGATCCATGAGTCCAGGAATCAAGGGATGGAAGTGGGAATGGTACCACTCACCGTTACCCTCAGTAATCCAAGAGCAAAACTTTTGTTCCTGTTCCCATGACCTTCTGCTCTGTTGGCTTCAAAGTTTTAGTACCAGATGGAGGAAGGATTGTATCATGAAGCACAGAGATGAAACCACTAAAGTGGAAGCCAAAACTTCCTTCTGAACATTTAGGCTCCCTCATTCCTCTGAGAAAACAAGCAAAAAAGGGAGTCACAGTGTTGTGAGGGTGAATGATTCAGACTATTGAAGAAAAATTGGAATACTATTCCACAGTGGAGGAAAGGTAGAATACACATGAAATGCAGGAGATCCCTCAAGGCTCCTCCTAGTATTACTATGCCCTGTTACTAAATCAATGGGAAGCTACAGCAACCTAATCCAGGCAGAATGACAAATACCCCAGAGACTTCAGGAATGAAGGTGTGGCTCACTCCACCAGGAAAAGAACCAAGACCTACTGTGGTGCTTGCTGAAGGCCAAGGGAGTACAAAATGGGTAATAGAAGGTAGTTCTAATTTTATTAATTTTATTGAAAAAAATAGCAATGAGACAGTTTCAAAACAGGTTAGTAGGACAGTTACAATATTTAATACACTGTATAATTGTTGTCTTCATAGCAGTTATTCACAATACAAGATGCAGACATGGTATCTTGTCTAAACACTATTAATATAAATCCTTCTTCTCATTGAGCTAAGAGAAAGTAGCTGTATATCCATCCTATTTTGTATATACAGATATATATTCCTTTTTAACTACAAAATGGACCTTCATTTATATCCCCCCTTTTTTGTTTAATTTTGTCAGGGATGGGTATTCCATTGCCATTTAAATCTTGTAGGTATGTGAATTCAGCAAAATAATCCAATATAGTCCAGTAGTCCATAATAGTAGTGGGCTATCCATGGAACTGGCAATGTCAGAAGTTGTTGACTTGAGCCTTTTACAGCTCAGCATATTAGTATGGCTTTACTTTTTATACCTCGTGGTTATACTTTTCTGTTGGACGGTAGAAAATAGTTCCAAATAATAGCTATGACCCCATGATAACCTATAGAAACGAGGATAGTAATTGTACCATTTCTCTCCTCATTTGATTCTAATGTAATGTAGATCCTTAAGGATTGTTAAACTTAGGTTTATAATGTTTAAATTATGAAAAGAGTGAACAATACCTAAAGAAAATTTACCTTCTATTATTCAGAAGGAATTAATGTGTTCCTGTTTTACACAGGATAGTTATAACATGTTAGGTGTTACTATGCGCTTGTCTTTGTATCTGGAGACTGGCTTCAAGAAATATGTTTGGTTGTCAAATTGACAAGGGGTAGATTGTGATGGTTGATTGTGTCAATTTGATAAAGAGAAGCTTAACAAAATTCACTCAGGAATTCCATGACCCAGAGTGTAGAAGACTCATCTTAGGGTGGCTTGTTGGCTGGATGGTATAAAGAGGAAATTAAGGACAGATCCGCTTCTGTTTCTTTGGCTAGGCTCCAGTCTTCACTTTCATCTTGGATATCATCTCCTGGTTTCCAGTGCAGACTGTGGCTTCTGGCACAAAGCCTTCAGCCTTCTGGTATAGAGTCTTCAACCTTCAGTTGCATATCCATTGGCCTCCTGATGCAAACTCATACAGGACTCTATGGTGAGCTCCAGACCTTCAACTGAATCTTGCAGTCTCCAGTGTGCAGACAGATCTTCTGCACAATTCCTCATCCAACCCTGTGTGTAGCCATGGCAAGCCAATCTTGTAAATTCCTATACATTTGTACATATTCTGAGTTATCTGTTTCTCTAGTAGCCACTGACTGATACAATGTCCCCTCCAAGGCCTCATGTGCTCCTAGATGAGGCTTGTCAGAGGTGGCTTGATGTAGGAATTATGGGTGAGAGATAACTGGGTTAGTTTACAAATTGGATTAGCACGGTTCTAGGAAAGGGTTGTGGCTGAATGGACTGACTGAAAACAGAAGACCCACACTGGGTAAAATTGGCAACAACCCATACTGAATAACAATGTATTTCCTCTTTCAGATTATTAGGTGATTCAGGTAATTTGAAACTTCAGGGCTATCAGCAGTTTTTGTTTCCTGAAAACCCTATAATGAAACCATAAGAAACATCCTTGAGTGGGTCTTGATTTCCTTCTACATTTATTTCTTCCAACTATCAAATGAATCCATACTTATCGTATATAATCTGGGAAATGTAGAAAACCATAAATAAAAAGAGAAAAATCTGGACCACTTTTAAGAGTCAGATACAAGACCAAAGTGAAAATGATATAAATTAGGTACTTATTTCAAGTACAAAATTTTAGTGATCAAAATAATATTTTATTTTTTTTAGGGGAGGTCTTACTACGTAATGCAGACTGGCCTTACAGTCACTATGTAGTCCAGGCTGCTTCCCAAGTGCTGGGATTTCTGGAATGTAATAGCACTCCTGGGTTTAAAATAAAATTTTAATGCAATATTTAAAAAACTCAAAATTAACCCCTCAAAATAAATTATGACTAAAAATACTAAAAGTTTTAGAAGACTGGATCTAATTATGTAAAGATTCCATATATGAGGAGATAGTTGGTATTTTTCTGCATCTGATTTTCACTTAGTGTCCTTCTGTTCCATTCATTTTTTTGTAAATGATAGACATTATTTTCTGTGAGCAATATTGCATTGTATATGTACTACATTTTCCTTATTCCTTCACCCATTGGTGGGCATCTTGGTTGCTTCCCTGTCTTTACTATTATGAATAGTA